GGATAAGGTTTCGGAAGCTATAATCCGAAACCCGAAACTTTCGGATTTTAGCACAAAGGGTTTCGGAGCCAACTCTAGTTTATACCTAATTAATGTGTTTAAATCAGTCGTTATTTTTGTTATATTTATTGCATTTATAGTAAGTTCGAGCAAAATCTGATCATTTGGAGTTGTTGGATCAATATAAGAACGTCTAGAAAAGGTCAACCTTGAAATATCAGTAGAAATACATCGAACAAGTTCTTCAGTAAAATTTTCATTTAAAAGAGTAAAATTTTTTATTTTATTAAAATCGTCTGTCCCTTTTTCTGACAAGCGTAAATATCCTGTAACCGTATCTAAAAATAAATAAATAAATAAATAATAATAATAGTAATAATAAAACATTATTATTAAATTTTAATAATTATAATATATTAGTTACAAGACTTACCAATATTTTCATGATTTATTATATCTATAATAAAATTTAAATTCTTTAATAAAAACAATATAATATCAGCCAACTTAGTTTATAAGATTATGTTTACTCACGAGGTTCTGTTGTTATTTCCCATAAATTCTCCCTAATACCTTGTAATTTCTCATGAAATATAAGATCTTCGACAAATCCATTCTCGACAATTATATGGTATGTTGAATTAGGGACATTAAAAGTACTACTTAAAACTGTACAGTTTATTGTATAACCATCATATGTAATTGCACAATAGTCTAACAATTTATAGGATGCCAATGCTGAATAATTTTGTCGTAATATTTTTTTATTTGATTCATCTATTTGATAAATTAATAAATTAGATGATGATCGCGTAATGGGAAGCTTATACGTAATCGTAATATTAAGGTTTGTAATTCCAACGGATGTGCCATTTTTAGGAAATGACGAGTTGATCAAGAGATTACGGAAACCTGCTAAATAACAAATCAATGTTAAAATATATAAAAATATGAAAATTAAAATGAACAAGAATTTACCACTATCATTCTCATATTTATGCATAGTATAGCCAATAAGACTCCAAGAATTTTCACTATTTGGCTTCGCAAAAAAAATCGTATTGTTGAATATAGCAACCTGTGTGTGTTCACCATTACTGTCTATTACTATTTGCATGTTAGTACCGTTGGCAGTTTCTATATATCCTTGTTTATCAAGAAGAGTAATGTTAAATTTTGTAATGTTTGGGTCACTAGTAAGTTGATCCAATTTAATAAAACCGCCAAAAGGTAAGGTTATAACTTCATATTTATCAGTAACATTTCCTTTAGTAACCAAAGAAACACCATGAACTGATCCTGAAGAAAGAAATTGAATATTGAAAAAATAATACATGTTTGATTTAAGTTGCTGCATATTTATTGTGCATGTGTTTCCTATTCCAGTAACATTGGTAGAGCAATAAATATTGTTAAACTGCAAATCTTCTTCTGTATCATATAGAATATTTTGTTCATTTACAATATCTTTACCGTATCTTATAAATATAGCATATATTCTTCCATGTGTCTCAAGTGGAGTATTATTTAGATTACCAATAATTTCGTTAGTGAAGCGTACTATAGCATAGTCATTATTGTTGGTAGAGAATATTGTATAATTTATATTGCTATTATCATCAGTGGGGAAAAAGTCTAGGATACTATTATTGCAGGTTGCTAATTGAGAAATTATCCCGTTTGAATTACTAAAAAAAAAAAGAATTGCAGCGACTTATTAGATATATTAGATATATTAGATATTTGCATTAACAATTAATTTGAAAAATTAGTAACTTACACAGTATAATGTTGACAACTGCCGTTATTTGAATTTGATGGCTGAAAAAAACGTAAAAAACCTTTTGTTGGATCAGAATTCACTGCAAATTTAGCTTGATTTAACATCAACCCATTATAAGGATCCGTATAAGATGATCCAAATTCTATATCACTGTAATGAAAATATGTCATAATCATTATTTTGACCATTCGTAAGGATGTTAATATAATTACCTAAAATTTGTTCCAGTCCAATCAATAATCATTCCCCGATCTCTATATGTCGAATTATCATACTTATTTGTAGCAGTTGAATATACCACTAGAATGTATTTATCAAATAGCGGATAAAATTCCAAAGGATTGGTACCAGCATTAGTATAATTAAAATTAAAATCAGGTATTTCATAATTTCTATTGATTTCAGACACACATCCATCAATTTGAATAAAGCGCAGTAATAATTCTGGTTCATATTGTGGGATTTCCGGATCTGTATTTTATTTCATGATGTGAACAATAACTGTTCCATCAGAAAAAGAATCAATAGCTTTTATCACTAATGTCCCATTAACATTTGTTTCATTATATGTGAAGTCATATTCGGTATATTCACACTTAATTGGAAACATAAACATCAATATCAAGAAGATACACGTAAACATCTGAATTTCCATCTTAAATAAGTTCATATGTAATCAAAATCAAATCCTTTTTTTTTTTTTTTTAATGTTAAACTTAATCGTTAATTAGTTAGGAATCATGCACTTTTAGCTAAAATTCGATTATGTGTCAACTAAGAATAAAAGCAGGTTTTATAGTTGAATTGTGCACCGTTTAGCAGCATGATGGAAATTGGTTTTAATTGGCCAATATTTGTGATCTACACGTAGACGTTACACCAAACCCAGAATTATGC